CCCCAAGCAACGCCAAGTCAGACCCCTGCAACAGGTCCCCAAGCAACATCAAGTCAGGCTCCAGCAACAGGCCCCCTAAAGCCCCCTGGCATGGAGTCCTCCATGAAGAGGTGAGCCCCAGGCCCCTCCTCTGATTTTGACCCCATGTCTCCCGATCCTGGCATGCCCCTCTCCCTTTTCTTTCTTCTCTCCCTTTCATACCTGCAAGACAGTAAAGGGCAGGGGACAGTAAAGGGCAGGGGACAGAAGCATCAACACCCTCCCCCACTCAGGGTCCTTGCAAGACCCTGGTGAGGGGCTACCTGAATATGTTCCCATGGCTTGCAGGCAAAATCTAAATGTTAGAACATTCTATCGAATGTTTAGGTTGGAAACTTCTAGAACTTTTTTTTTTTTTTTAAGATGAGGAACAGGAGTTCCAGAGAGGGGAAGTGACTTGCCAAAGCCACAAGGAAAGATTGTGGCAGAGCCAAATGCCAAGCCCAGAGTCCTTCCTCCCAATTGCCCCATTTCTCACTAGGGAACACAGTGCAGCCACACACAGGAGGGTGGAATTCGGCAAAGGATTTGGGGTTTGAGACTTAAAGGCAGCAACCCCATCTCTGCTCCTAACCAGCCATGGGAACTGGGCCCACCAGCCAGCCTTGTTTTCTATATCTGTAAAATGAGGGGTGTGGGCCCTTTAACCCTCTGTCCTCTCTAACCTCTCCTCTCTTGTCCTCTTCCCATCCCCTCCAGTGCTTTTCCAGAGGTGGAGAGCAGCTTTCAGATCCTGACTCCAGTCTGCACTGTGCTAGCCCCATTTCTGATTGTGGCTCTGGTCCTATTGCAAAGGAAGCTCCAAGGAAATGGACCATGTAAGTTGAGTTGAGTGGCCCTGAAGCTAGGTAGAGGGTACTGGTCCCTGTCTCCCCTCCCACATAACCTCAGGCCTGGGTCAGTTTAGAGTCGTAGCCAGGACTTTTGGATGTAGAGCTAAATTCTAGTTTGAATCAACTGCGGCATCACAGAGCCCAAGGAGAAGCTCTTTGAAGATTGGCAGGACCTCTGCTAACAGAGGCATAAGCAACCCCAAGGGCAGAGGGCAGGAGTACAGGGCCCAGCTATGGGCCAAACTGCATGTCCACCCTCCTGCCTGGCCTAGTGATATTCTCACTGCCATGTACCAAGTTTAAATACTCCTAAAGTAAGTGTTTTGGGTGTGTAGACCTGGTGAAGAAAGGGTGAGATTTTCTGGGAGCAAGCAGGGAGGCTGAAATTCTCAAAGCCAGGCCCCCAAAGGCCTGGCCTAATTTCTGTTGTCCTAAGGAATTCAGTTGCTAAGTTTTGGGAAGTTCTTAGAAACTTGTAGTGGGTTGAGAAGGTCCGTGAGGAATCCAATTAATTCAGTGTCGGTCACTCCAGAATCCTCACAGCCTGCTCTGTGTCTTTGCAGCTCAGGAGGCAGAAAAAACACCCAGGGTCACCCTGATTCAGATGACACATTTCCTGGAGTCAACCCTTTCACCAGCTCATCTGCCTCATGAGGAGAGAAAGACACTGCAGGGTGACTCTCCTACCCAAGCAGATCCGACGGCCCCAGAAAGGGACCCAGGACTCTCAGGAATGGAAAAATAAATGGCTCAGTGCCATGGAAGGAGGACCAAGACCAAGCATGTCCATGACCTTAGTCCCTGGTGTCCACCCTGGGGAAGCAGCAGCTGACTGTCTCAGGCCTAGAAGGTGAAGCCTTCTCCACAGCCAAAGGTAGCCGAATGACTCAAGGAAGGCTTCAAGAAAGGACCAATTAGACACTGGAAGAGGTCACCTAGGAAAACTGTGGAATTCCAACTCCTGCATGTTTAAAAATGTAAGAGGCTTCCAACCAATTTGGAGGATGACAACTTCTCTACCATCACCACAGCCCTCTCTGGGTGCCCCCTTGTCTGTTAGTATGCAGTCTGCTGTTCACATTGAAGTCTACTCAAGCATGCCAGGTCCTGTCTGTTCATGCCCAGTCTAAACTGCTTTATGGCAGTAACTGTGTTTTATCCATCTATGTCCCAAGAGAATTTTCAACTCAGTGGGCTCCCCCATAAATATCTGTGACTGGCTGAGGGAAGAGAGGGGCTAGGTGGCCTCTGAGGAGACACCCAGGCCAGCACTCTAAATCTCCCTGTGTCTCCATCACTTCATTTGGGAGTCCCCTAAATGTCCCTATTGGTAGGTAGTTTCTACAAGGAGACCAAAGGGAAGAAAATCCACCCCTCCACTCACAGCCTTTCTTTAGGTCCATTCTCATTATGTCATGGATCTTCTCACTCAGCCAAGACTTTCTGGAATTTCCTAAATTCATGGAGGAAGAAAGTATTTTTTAGTAAATTTTTATCTTTATAAAGCTCCTCTTGTTCAACTTCTTATAAATCCTTGATATCACAGACTGTTGGCAAAGCTGGAAAATGGTGTTGGGGGACAGGGTAGGAGACGAAAGAGGAATTTTATGTGGATTCCGCCTGATGACCATGTTACCTCATGTCTGTTGGGGAACTTTTGCTCCACCCTGGATCCCACTGTCTTTTTAGGAATCGCATCTGCTCTTTTCCTGCCCCTCATGCGCTAGCAACATCAAGTTGAGAACTGTCAAGTAGACATTTTCAGAAGGGCCTGCCTCCTAAACTGTCAGCAGCATCAGAAATCCCTCAGCATTACCTCCTCATACCTGGTCCAGGACCAAGGAAACCAAAGAGATGCAGTTTTCATGGTTTGTGAGAGAGAAGTAGCAAGTTCAGGCATTTAACCGAATAGAACCATAGAATTTCCAAGCTAATAAATCCTTAAAGATTTAGTCTAAACCCCTCAGCTTAGAAGTGAGGAAACTGAGGCCTGGTCACGGAGTCACCTGTTTCAAGTCACTCAGTGAACCCATCTCGTGATAGATAGCAAAGTGAGGACTAGTAGAGAACTCGTGCCCTTGGCCTAGTGCCTTTTCCCCATTGCTATATGATAGAAGAAAGAAAACTAGTCACCCAAAGACCACAGTCATCCCTCTATACCTTTCATGCCTGCTATCTTGGGGACCTACCTGAAGAACCTATAAGAGAGACAGGACAGACACCATCATTCCCTTCAATCAGTGAGAAAGCAGGCCCTGACAGGTGCATCATTCAGCCAAGGCCACCTGACTCATTGGTGGCAGGGATGGGTCAAGAAGTCAGGCTGTTCTTTATATCTAAACAGCATTTTCTGGGGGCAGCCACAGAACACCAGCTTCTCGGGATGTTAAGAGGTGCTAAGGAAAAGATTTAGCAGTTCAAAGAAGTTTGGGAAATATTAAGTTAAAGAACAACAGATTCTTTTATGCAGGAATTCTCAGAGCCTTTTGTATACCTTATTTACACATTGCAAATAGTTTTGAGGGTGGGACATTATGTGTGTTGGACTCTTGTTCAGAGAAGCAGTCTCACCGAACTGGACTTCCTCAGATCACTTGTAGGGAAGACCAGAGCACTGAACCAGGGGTCCGTTGACTTTTTCTGTAAAAACAAAAAAAAACAGACATTAAATATTTTAGCCTTTGCAGGCTCTGCAGTCCCTGTGGCAGCCGCTTAGTTCTTCCTGAGTAGCACAAAAGCAGCCAGAGGCAACACAGAAGCCAATGACCACAGCTAGGTTCCTACGAAACCTATTCACAGAAACAGAAGGCAGACTGCATTTGGCCTTTGAACTAATATGCCAACCCCTGCACAAGCCATTAAATCACTCGAGACTCTCCTGGCCTCTCTCTGATCTGATCCTCATGAAGAGCTTCCTGGCCACCCTCTCCTTCCTTCCTCTGAACAGCTTTGGTACTTTCTCTCTGGAATTGAGCAGCTAGAATGTCCTGTTCGGCTACCTATCTTCGGGGCAGGAGGGGACCCGTCCAGCCAGTGAGTTGGGCAAGTGACTGGAGCCAGGAGAGTGTCCAGGAGTAAGAGTGTTCTAGAGAGCTGAGATGCACCAGGGGAAGGTACCAGTACAAGCTCAAAGAAAGAGCCAGTGCAGAGCCAAGGTTAATGTCAGGGCCAGGAGTTTTGAGGAGACAGAGATAAGATATGAGGACAGTATAGAGGGAAGGAAGCGGGGTAGCCCCAAGTGTTCACAGCTCTCCTTTATAGCTCAACTGATGAGCGGCTGGGTCAGGAATTTCTCTTAAAGGGCTTGAAACAGAATACACAGAGCAAGCCAGCTATACCATTAGGTATATGGTCAGAGATTTTATCTTTTTATTTCCTATTATCTCCCTGGTAGCACAATGTCCTCACCACTGAGACAAGGGGCAGGGAAACCACTGGGCTATAATCAGGGAGACCTCTATATGGATATCTGGTACAGAGTGCAGGAAAGCCACTGATTGTCATAGGATCAAGCAGCTTCCTGGGTCAAGGTACAGCTCTCTGACACTCCCTTCCTCCTGCTTATTAGCTTTGCTGCTGCTCGTTCCTGTGTCTCCACACAGCACCTTCTGTCACATTTGATGTGACATTTCTGAAAGGAAGGTGTGTTGGTTCCCATTTTACAGATGAGAAAACTGAGGCCCGGAAAAATTAAATAGTCACACTACCAGGGAAAGGGCAAGCTGAAACTTGAACACAAGGTCTACCTCCATTCCTCCTTGATTGCTGTGCCATCTGCCTCTCTCCTCATTTGAATTTACAGACTGTTCATCTGCTCAGGTCTCTTCCTGCTTAGAGTTCCAAAGGCTTGCTTCTCTCTTTTAGCTTGCACAATCCTTTCCGGTAATTTGTTCTCTTTCCTCATTAAGTAGCTTATTCTTGTCCTGGCCTACTGAAGCATAAAAAAAAAAAAAAAAAAAGTCCTGAGAGCTAAAAATTCAGGCACCAGCCCTGGGGTGCTTGCTGGCATTTCTACGAGTAGAACTCAGATCTGAAATGATCCATAGGAGTATCCATCTAAGGTTACTCAAGGCAAATGCTTGACCCTAAGCCAACTTCTCACTGTCCTCTGCTGACACTTTGGGGGATGCTTCTCCTCCTCCAATGGCCAGTATGGTCTGAGAAAAGCAGAATCTGCTCACCAGCAGCCTCGGTCACACAGAGAAGAAGGTGCATCACAGAAAGATCTATCACACACTTCAACCAAGTAGACATGGCATATTTGGTTATGTCCCTTTGGTGCACAGACACAGAGACGAGAACTTGACAAACGTGGACTGGAGAACGGAGACCGCACTGAAGGAAGTGGACTTTCTCTGGTCACCCTGCTATCCATTCTTCATTAAGTGACACAACTTGGCTTATAGGCACCGCCCTCCCAGGGCAGCCTGCTCCCTTCACTGACTACAAGAATATGAGCTTTCACCCATTGCCACTCTTCACAGGGCCAGCTGAAACCGAGGTGGACCACAGAGACGTGCCAGCCCCACAGGACCCCACCTAGACCTCTGGAGGCATGTGGAACTTCCAGTAGTGAGTCACCCCGCCAGCGGCCACCGTTTGCCTCCTGGTCCCACTAAAGACACACGTTCACCGATTAGGATCTGGACTCTATTTTTATGTTCTGCCTTTTTCAACCTCTGGCCTAGTTTTCACTCCCCATGTATTTGCCTGCTGTGTCTAGAACCACCAGTTCTGCTCTCAGCATGGAGGTCAAACAAAGGCCACTTCTCTCCCTGAATTTCAAATTCCTACCTCCCCAACCCTGAGTATTTTAGAGAGGAGGGAGAAAACCAGGGCTACCAAGTCCAAAGTGTTTTCCAAGTTGCCATAAAGATGTTGCAATTCACTTGTGACAAGAGTTCAGAAATAGGGCATCGAAGAGTTTGCTTCTTTAGGGCCTGGCATGGGAAGGGCTGTCCGCTTAGCAAATGCAACTGGACTGGACTTTCCATTGGCCAGCTCTCTCCTCACCCACCACCACCAGTGTAGTACAGACAAGTCGAAGTTACTTGCAGTATATATCACCAGGAAGAAAGGGTCCGTCTACAGATGGAAACACTAAGGCTTGTTAGATGGGCACAGGCTGCAGGGGATAACATGGACAGTTTTCCAGTGGCTACCTGCCAGGCAGACCTTGGGCTGAAGGCCAGACTCAGACCAGGAACAAGGAAACAGTCAGCCTTTTGGGGGGGACTCCAGTGGCTTATGAGAGAGGCTGGGCCCTGTTACCTGACACTTACCTATTGACTTTGGATGTCTACTCCAAAAATTTTTTCCTCCTTCTGCTCCTCCCTAGCCAGGGTGTGGAGGTCAGAAAGGGCAGGAGAGTGGTTTGTTAACTTCAGAAGACGTTTGCTCATTTGTCCCTGCCACTCAGAACCAGAGAATAAAGGTTCCTTGGAACTCAGCAACCAACCCCAAAGGGGAACCAAGAGATCTTCTGGGCCACAGCCAACTTTCCATTTCTAGGCTTTTCGATGCTCAGCTTTGCTGCTCCCTGGGCCATCACAACCTCCTCAGGGCAAGATGGACCCAGTCCCCGGGGCACAAGCCTTTGCTTTCACCCCTCTTCCAGTCAGAATGAGAAAGGGTACTGACAACCCTTCCACCCTACAGGCCCCAGAAGGAGTATTGTTTCCACTCTCTGGATGGGAGTCAACTGAGCTAGGAAAATAATTGAGGGACTAAACATCTGGGCAGTGA